GCCCTCTGGCCCTCACATCTCCGGAGCTATCGCTGTGCTCGCCAGGGCTCAGGCTGCAAAGCTCGAGAGTGGAGCTGGGCTTTATGCACCACGTGTCCAGGCCCCTGGCCAGGGCGGGCTGTACAAGTCCAGGGGCACACAACTCTGCCTGCCCAGGGATTCTGGGGTGTTCAGGGCCTGTTTGAGAACCCAGAGCACTCAAGAAGTGGGGATGAGAAAGAAGGAGTAACCCCCAAAGGAGCCCACTTCCTTCCCAAAGATTCCTGGGGGCAGCTTTGCAGAGAGGGCCGGGGTGAGGCTCAGTTCATCTCTGTGGGTACAGAGAAGGGGTTCATCAAGACGCTCGGCCCACCCCCCGCAGCGGGTCTTAGCAGGTGGGAGCCATGCGTGGTCCTGCGGTCACACTGAACGGGCCGCAAGCGCAGGCCCTCAGTGGCTTCTCCTACACCCCAGGCTTGCTGGGACCCCCTCTGCGTGCTTAGGGTACAGGACGGCCAGGCAATTTTCCTGCTTGCCTCGAAGGACGGTATTAGTGCAACTGCACTACCTCAGACAGCCGGGAGGTCCACACCACGGCCATTCAGAACGCACCGCGTGACTCCCCACTGACTGAAAGGTGACCTGTTGGGACATCCTCCAAATTACAATGGCAGGAATAGGAAAGCCACAGCTGAAGCAGGTACCAGCGCTCACGGCCAGCCACATCCTCGATTATGTCCCTGAGCCAACCACCAGCAGGGCCACCGCGGCTGTCAGCGACAGGGAGTGTCACAGCACGCATGCCAAGGTAGAGATGAAGGGTTACTCACGGGTGCCACCGAGTCCGGCCTCAGCTCAGCCTCTTCCGAGCTGTCCGCCCTACATAGGCAGGTCACCTCTCGCCCACTGTCCATCCCACACAGCAGGGGGGAACCTCTCGCCCACTGTCCGCCCTACACAGGCAGGTCACCTCTCGCCCACTGTCCATCCCACACAGCAGGGGGGAACTTCTTGCCCACTGTCCATCCTACATGGCGGGGCGGGGGGGAAACTCTCGCCCACTGTCCGCCCTACACGGCGGGGGTCCCTCTCGCCCACTGTCCGTCCCACAGGGCCGGAGGGGAACCTCTCGCCCACTGTCCATCCTACATGGCGGGGCGGGGGGGAAACTCTCGCCCACTGTCCATCCTACACGGCGGGGGTCCCTCTGGCCCACTGTCCGTCCCACAGGGCCGGGGGGAAACCTCTTGCCCACTGTCTGTCCTACACGGGTGGGGAACCTCTCACCCACCGTCCACCCTACACGGCAGTGGGGAACCTCTCGCCCACTGCCCACCCCACGTGAGTAGGTAACCTCTCACCCACTGTCCTCCTCATAAAACAAACCGAAGGATATCCACAGCACCAGATCGTGATGAAGCAAAGAAAGAAAAATGCTCAGCACTCTTTTACCCAAAAAACAAATTCCATGTAGGCACAGAATTCACTTTTCGATTTTTATTCTCTTTTTCTCAGATAGTACCCTGAAATATGTAAGTTACTGTGATAAAATCTGAACGGGCGAACAGCCGAAGCTGCACCTTCTCCGAGGCGTTTGCAGGCTGTCTTTGCCACAAGTTACTCAGCTGGCCAGCCCTCCACGACACTGGAAACCAAAGCTCATGGCCCCCTCAGCAAATAAGACAATTCCGGAATGGGTTTGGGAACAGGAGAAGGGTAAGAGAGGAGCCCTCCTGAGGCTCTCGGGAGAGTCACCAGCCTCCAGCCACCATGAGCTCTGCCAGCTCTGGGCCCAGGGGTGGAGCTGCTTCTCCAAATGCACAGGGGGCCCGCACCTTTGGCCAAGGGAGACCACCTCAGTCCAAGGGAAAATCAGTAACTAACAGCATTCACACGTTTCGAAAATTAGTCACTGGTTTCCATGGTGATGCAAACATTACCCAACATCTAGCTCACCGGGCTGTAAGTAACTAAGATGACAGTAAAAACAGTTTTTTTTTTTTGGGGGCGGGGGAGAGGTTTTTGCTACAGGCACATGCACTCGTCAGAGATACAGAAAGAGACAGAGAGACAGAAAGCGAGAAATCACCCCTCAGGGGGGACAGCCACGCCGCAATCCCTTCTCCGTTCTCCTCTCAGGATCTTGGGCACGCACACACATGTGCCCAGCATGAGTTTAAGCCACCGGCTCCAGGACTCGAACCGCAGTTGACTACATGGGAGTCCAGTAACATGGCCATTACTCCAACTGCTGGTCCCCAAAATACACATTTTTAAAATGGGAAAAGATCTCTATTTTTAGTTTAGGAATACCTGTGAGGAATTAGCCAGACTTAAGCAGCAGGCTGCAGGGAGGCAGGTCGGATCCCAAGAGCAGGTTCCAAGTTGCCCCTAGCCCTGTTTGTGTCGAGTCACACACACACACACACACACACACACACACACATACACACACACAGCCGCACACACAGCCACACCCGGGGGCCCTGTGCTTGTCAAGTCACACATGCACACGCGGCCACCAGAGGAAGTGTGAGGACATCGTATTTACAAAAGGCTCTGTGTGGAAGAGGAGTGCTCTCCACCCTGAAGTCTTCCTAGAACGACCTCTGCTGCTGCCCTCTGGGGACAGACGAGCCCACGGCATGACAGATGAGTGGCCAGTCCCTTTGAACTCTGCATTACAAATCTCCTAAGGCACAACAAGATTTCCCAGTAACAACTAAGACACTCCAAACAAGAATAACTCCCCGTTCTCAGTAGATTAATTTTCTACGTATACTTGAGTTTTAATTAGGAAAAGAGGCAAAACATTGTATGATGCTATTCATGTTCAGATGACACCAAGAAGTAGAGGTCCCCAGCTCCGTCTCTTCTGGTGGTTCCCGGAGGGCTCTGTAAAAACAACACGCCTGGCCATATCCAAGACTCGCTCACTCTCGGGCTCTGGGTGTGGGATTTAAAAGTTGCATTTTCAAAGTTTCCTGTACAATGCTCCTAGTCTGAGAACCCTACCCATTAGGCTGAGGTCTCCACACCAGTGGCAGAAGACAGGACAGTCACTGGGGACACAGGTCACTGCAGATCCATCAGAGGCAGGGCTGTTCATGACTCAGTGACGTTCTGACCATCATCCAGGGTGAAAAACCAGGGCAGTCTCCATGCACTGCAGGTGGGAGCGTGCAAACATGTCCTTTACAGATCACACAGGAGACAGGCCTGACCTCGTCCCCCATCCTATCTCAACTTGTCCTGCTCTCGCAACTAACTAGATCATTTTCAGTACCTGCTGGCCAGCAAGCAAGGAGACCATGCTGACATTTACATCTTCATTTTCACTTATATGTATTTACTTATTTCTTCCATGAGGTTTTTTTAGAGAGGAAGAGAGGGAGAGACAGGTTCCCCCGCAGGGTCTCCATGCCACTATCCACCCCCAGCTTCAGCCCCCTGCGTCACAGGCACGCGTTCAGGGAGGTCTCCAGACACAGCCTGACACCCTCCCGGTGGGGGCTTTGAGGAGTGCCGCGTCACTCCTGCCCCACTGCCGGTCACGTTTGACATTCATTTATTTATGTCTTCTTTATCTCACAAAGCCATCATGTGCACATTATGCAGACACAGTATAAAATAAATGGAAAATAGGAGGAAAATGAAGCAAAAGGAAAATAGACAGGAAACTAAATGGTTATCAGAGGTAAATTCCATAGGATCAGAGGTAAATGAAATAAATATAACATATGCCAGGAAATCTAGTTCAATTGTTAATTCTAGCGGCCAGCGTGAAGAGGAAAACATGATTACGAAATTCCCAGTGTCAGGCCAGCAGGTGGCATGAGGCTATGGCACTGGATCCCACATGCCCGACTGCATGGTTTGAGTCCTGGATGCGGCAGCTTGAGAAACAGCTTGACACACGTGCGTGCCCAAAAATCCCTAGAGGAGAATGGAGATGGGATTGTGGCATGGCCACCCCTCTTGGGGACGCTTCCTCATTTTCCCACTCTCTCACTCTTTATCTCTCTGTCTCTGGCACGTGCATATGCCCTATAGCAAATAGAAAAAAAAATCACAATGCCCGCTGGAAAGAACAAGCGATTCAGAGTGTCCTTGGTCTCTGGCCAGCCTCTCCCGGCTGACACTGAAGGTCCTGGCCACACTCCGAGCCATGCGCTGCACCGCCAGTGGGAGCAGCAGACGGGGCAGCTCCACCTGCCCACCTCTGACCCCGACCCACGGATAACAACATGGTCGTCCGAGGACGCTGACCAGGACAACGCCCACAGGACGCTGGAGCCTGGGGTCACCTGCTGCCCGTCCTTCACGAGCTCTTTGCCCTGGCGTCTGGTCCACCCAGCTGTGAGGACAGCTGCTCCCCAGGCCGCTCCCTCCTCTCCTCAACACCACGAGGTTTCGGCTGCGTGAAGGCAGTACTGGCACAGAGCAAGTCACCGAGCGCTCCTTGAAACTGCCAAAATCTGTACTACGCTAGAAACTTCCAAAAGATAACACCACAGGAGCACAAGGGCCCAAATTGGCTTCTCGGCTCTAGCATCGAGTAGGAGATGCAGTCTGGCCACTTGTCTTCTAAGATTCGGCTTCCCACCCATTAAAGGCCAGCATTTCCATAGGACGGTTAGTCTGGAGGAAGAAATCGACAGAGACACGATCCACCTGGTTCTGCTCCTGGCACACAGTAGGACTCAGAAAATGCTACCGACCCTCCCCCTCTGGGGGGTTCTGACAGAGGAGGGCTTAACTAAGTCATTAAGTAGCAGCTAAATTCGGTACCCATGCAATAAGAAAAAGAGGAAATTAACACATTCCCTGTGAGCCTGCAAATGCTTGAAAGGACTAACTGAGGTCTTGCTGATACTGAAGTTGCGGCTGTTTGCTTCACAGACCCTGTTTTCCGGGCGATAGAGACAGACCGGCCCAGTGCGGACAGACGGAGGGAACACTGGTCATGTTTTGCTTTCCTGAAATGTGAGTGACCCAGATTAAATAAGCAGCTGACCTACCTTTTCTGTGATGTAGAAGTTGGAACTCTCAGCATGCTGCAGCGCGAAATACTCATGGTTGGCCAGGGACCACCTTAAACAGACAGACAGAAGCTGGTCAGGAACACAGCGGTGCTGGTTTCATCTCGATCATTCTATAGGGTTAGATCAATGAAATGCCCTGGGGTGGCACGGGGCCAGGCCCAACGCACCACAGCGTGGTTCCTTAAAATCACATCGCGGCCCGCAGACTAGTCGTTCTGTGTACGGGAGGCCTCGGCCCTATTCCCAGAGCACTGCTCACCTTTAAGCATTTCACCTTCAAGGCTTGGGATGGGGGGAGGGGAATATAAATTGAACCGTAAATCCTCCCTATTTTGATGGACTGGAGCAGAGGGAGGAAAACAAGGAAATGACTGCAACGGACATTTTTGCTAACTGGCCCCTTTCAGCCGTCTGTTTATTCTGCAATCTCCAGGCAGTACGCCTGATTGGAACACTTAATAAAGTATTCCGGTCTTCCGAACATTCTCGGGTGGTCTCTCTCCACACTCCTGCTGACAAACCTAAGACCGTGCAACTTCCACTTGTGCTTTTCCTCTGGATTGTTGACAGCGGCCAAAGGGAAGCAGGAAAGCACGTGCGGAATCCCACGCGGCCGTATGACCACGAAAACGCTTTCATCTTCTAGGAGACCTGAGCGTCAGTGTAGTTCCTACCAGATAAAATGTGGATTTAACCTCAGGAATCCTCACGTGTTCCTGTGGGGTCAGGTAAAAGGAAGGCGACTTCCCAAAACAAATAAAACCAACCCCACTGAGCGCAGGCCAGCCTTTCCCACTGCTGCCCTCTGAGGAGTGCGGCTGAATTTCTGATGGCAAAGGGTCCGTAACGTCTACACGGTAATTCCTCACGACTTCAGACAGGCCCGAAGATGGCTTATGAATGATATTCGGGTACTCCACTGCGGATCGTGTCTCTGCCTGCCGCCGTAGGACCGAGACCCGTCAGGCGAGTCGGATCGGGTCTCTGCCTGCCGCCGTAGGACCGAGACCCGTCAGGCGAGCCCCGAGTGAGACTTACCCATCACAGACTTCCTTTATGATTGCAGACAGCGGCTTTTTCTGCAAAACAACGAAAACGGAAATGCGTTCTGTTAGTTTCATTTCATCATTTTAAGTTAAAAAAAGAAGAACCCTGATAAAAGGACAGCTAAACAAGGAGACTACATTTGCTGTTCTTTGTCGTTACCAACAAATCTCATTTTCCTCAAGGTAGCAATCTACTAACCATCACCACCAAATGTATGACTCTTTTATTATTCTGCGACCCTTTTCTTCACTTAGCACTAACAGCTGAACAGAATCTGCATTGTATGTCATTTAGCCACTTTAGAATCCGGGTGAAAACGCGGCTTGCAGAGACGGCGTGGTAACAGAAGCCTGCAAGGCCCAGTGACAAGCAGCATTCCTCGGGAGGCACGTGGATGAGGAAGCCGCAGCTTGCTTCTATGCAGACAACCCTGAATTCCTGGTATTTTTATGAGAACGTGTTGCAAATGGAATATGACGCCGCAGGAATTTGTTCCTACGAGGTACGTGGGACCAGCAGATGGCACAGCAGTTAGGTCACTGGGCTCCCACATGGCCAACCATGGTTTGAATCCCAAATCCTGCAGCTTCAAAATCACACCAGGCACGTGTGTGTGCCCCCAGGCTCCCAGGAGGAGGACGGAGGAGCAGGGACTGTGGTGTGGCCGTTCACTCTAAATGGTAATTTCTCACTCTCCCTCCCACTGTCTCTGTCTCTCTCTCCTTCCCATAAGCACATGTGTCCAAAGGCAAAAACCTCTTTAAAACAAACAAACAAACATAAAAACAAAATACATAGACTTCTTCCCCCAGCCATGGCCCCAATAAATGCCCACCGCACGGCAGCTTCAGCTGGCACACTCGCGCGGCGTGCCAGGGCAGCATGTGTTGTGGAGTCAACTGGGGCCGACCACAGCTGCGCTCGCTCCGGACAGCCACAGTTGTGCTCCACCTGCCCCAGACAGCCGAGCAATGCCCAAACTCCCGCTTTAGATCCGACAGACTCTGCTGTCTCCTGGGTGAGGAGCAGTTTCTACCAAAAGAACAAAGCACAGGCGGCGAGGGGAAGAGAGGAAGAGGGATGAGAGAAAGCAGCCCTTGTCCTGGACCTTCAGATACAACCGGGAAAGAGCTGTCTCCGCACGTCTTCTATCTTTGTGGTATCCAGAAAGGGTTCTGAATCCAGAAAGAGACCAGTTCAATCCCGGCTCTGCCAGCTTGGCTGCAGTGTGAGCTCCATTTCCTCTACTTGCTGAATTTCAACTGATTTACCTAGAAAATGGGAATAGGACCCCTTGCCCCTCAGGGCTGCCCTCACTGAATTCCGAACATGGTTCCCCTGGTCCCTGCTAGAGGCTCCCACTCTGTGGAGTGTGCACACCCGGCCCCTGGAGTGCCTGCCCCTACAGTCATGAACACGGTCATGTGTTCTAGGACTCAGCCTCTGCCTCTGTCGACACAGGCAGCCAGGGAAGGGGCGCCTAGAGCCCAGAGTGGGAGGGTGGAGAGCTGTTCCCAACTGCGCAAGTCAGTCTCTTTTAGAATAAGAATAGAAACAGCGATGGGGGCCAGTAGGTGGAATGGTTGTTAAGGTGCTGGAGTCCCACATGGACAACTGCAGTTCAAGACCCAGACCCAAAGGGTTGAAAAAAAAAGAAAAATCACAAGAAAGAAAGAAAGAGGTTTTTTAAAAAAATAGAGAGAAAGAGAGAGAGAGAGATTGAGAAATGTTGAAAGAGAGAGACAGAAATAGTGAGTGAGGGGCCAGCAAGTGGCATGGTGGTTAAAGTACTGAACTCCCACATGGCTGACCTCAGTTCGAGTCCCAGATGGTGGCTTAAAAGCAGTCCATTTGCATGTACATGTGTGTCTAAAATCTCAGTAGGAGAATGGGGAAGGGGTTGTGGCGTGGCCATTCCCACTGGCGGGCAATCTCTGACTCTCTCTCTCTCTCTCTGGTGAGCACATGCACCCTACAGCAAAAACCTAAAGGAAGGAAGGAAGGAAGGAAGGAAGGAAGGAAGGAAGGAAATGGCGAGTGAGTTCTCCAGCGAGTCCCACAGTACATGAGTCCAAGGCCCCCACAGGAGCCAGCACACAGCCTGCAGCCACGCTGAGGGGCAGAGTTCTCTCATGACCAAACGACAAAGGGGCTTCAGAAACCACCTGTTCCCCTAGGGTGAGGGTTTTGCACCTCCAGCTGCTGACTCCTCTGGGCTATCGGGAGCTGGTGAAGGCTAACCCATCTGCCTGCCCCACATCTGACTACTTGCACCCTTGAAACCGAAGCACAAGGACAGGGCGGGGTTCAGTTCTCCCTTGTGTGGAAGCACACATCGGCCCGGGAGGCACTGCTGTGTCGGCAGGGGAGGCGGCGAGAACAGCTGTGCCCAGGAGTGACCTCTGAGCTGCCGTCTCCAGCACATGCTTGGATTTCCACCCCGATCTCATCCAGAGACGCAGGCTCTGGTGTGTAAGACAGATGTCAGAGCCAGCTCAGTGGCACTGTGGCAAGCGTAGATCCACACAGCTCAGGAGTACCAGAGCTCGGGCAAGGCTGGATCCATACCGAGGGTCACAGGTTTGATTCCCTGGGTAACCTGCATACGCCCATGAGTCTAGCTGGAACGCCTGTGTGGAGGCTGTGGCACGAAACCCTGTTGAGATTTTTCTCTCACTTTCTTGAAAGAAATAAACTTTAAAAATAAATCTTTAAGAGAAAAATGAAAGGTTCTGTTTCTCATCCTCTCTTTTGTGTGCGCATGCGCTCGTGCCCTCTGGCAATAAAAATAAATACATAAGTCAGTAAGCTACAAGTCAGATTCTCATCATAAAAAGGAGAAAGAGAGAGCAGTCTGTGGGGTACTGCCTCCAGAACATTCTAGAATGTACGAATGGGAGGAAGACCATGGAAGCAGAGCTCAGAGCCTCAGAGAAGAGGGACCACGCACGATTAGCTGCACATCCACAAGGCGGCTGCCCATCACGATGACTGTTATTTAAGGACAGGGCTGACCCTCAGCCCACTTCCTGGCCCTCCGTTCTTCTTTCTACCCCAATCAAACCTTAGGCCCACCTTGCAAACCCTCACCCCAGTGGCCTTTGCAGACGGCTTGCTTTCCTTTTCCAGGCAGCCTCGGTAGCATTACGACCTCCCGTCTTCCTCGAAGTGCCTTCCCAGAGCTCCTCTGACTCAGCACAGTACCTCCCTCATCCTCCGACCCTTTGGTAAGGTCCAAGAGACCCTCGTGGCTCCTGGTTTACTGACAGCTTCCCAACTGCAGGTTTCTGTTCTTGTCTTCCCCGCTTTGCCCTCAGTGGTCAGTTCCTCACGGGTCTCGTGCACTTCAACCATCTCAGGTCTCAGCTCTGGTCTCTAACACCCTTTGCAGATCTCTAAGATCTCCCATCTATGTCTGTTAAACTCATTTTAACTCTTCTCCAAGCAACTTATTAAACGTGCAGACAAAGTCAGCACCCCCGCCATCTTCTGCCCTCCATCACCCCAGCGTGGCCTTCTCCTCCGTCACGGCCACCGCGTTCCTTCCCACTTCCTAACTGTTCTCCTCAGCTCTTGACTCGCTGCCTCCTGACTCCAGCCCACCACCCTTACTCCTGCGCCCCAGCCCTGGCCCCTTGCCCGAGTACCTGCCCGGCACAGTAACTGCCTTCATTTCCAACCTAGTGCTCCAATCCTCGTCTTCGGCAGTCCCAACTAGACTGACCCACTTTCGGCAGTCCTTCCACGCGTATGGCCAGAGAACTTGCTCTCACCTTCTCCTCCCTTACCTTGCTTTTGACACTCACACGTGCAAGACACTAAGTGTCATCACCTCCTCCACCACCCATCCCATCCATCCAGACCCTTCCCGCCACCTGTGTTCAGGTCCCACAGCCAGATCCTGCAGATATGAGCACCCTCCAGGCTCCGTCCTCAGTCCCAATGCCAGCTCTAAGTAGGCGAGATGCGACCTGTGCCACTGCGCTCACGGCACGCTTCTGCAGTCGCCCCCGTGTGTCCCCAGTGATCATGACCTATACAGCAGGTATTCCTCAGCCTGTCACCAAGGCCTTCAATCAGGTCTCAGGAAGTTCCACTATGCTGTCTATGTTCCCATGATTCGGGGTTTTGCTGGTGATTCAAGGAAAAAAAATAAAACACCGAGCATCTCTGCTTTCACTAATGTGCCGTCTGCTGTGTTGAAAGGGCCCTCTCCAGCTCTAACACGGAACTGTTCCTACCACTTAGTATCCTGGCCAGCGCCACTCCTCTAAGCAGATGCCCTGTCTCCCTGGAGAGACGTAATTGTTCCCCGTGTGTACTTCCGACATGAACAGAATCAGTCCCGGGGGCTGCGGGTATCTCTGTCTGAGAACAAGAGGTTCCTTTCTGGGACCTCTCCGACCCTCAGTACTAGCTACAGAGCATGCAGGGACAACGGGCTCAATGTATTTACGTTAGATGGAAAAGTCACGCCCTCACTAACTCCCCTTTATAAAACAACAGCAGCAACCGCATGGGGCCAGCAGTGCAGCAGGGAGAACTGCTCTGGGAGGCTGGGCCACCTGGGTGAAGGTCTCAGGTTCCCAGCTCACACCTTTGATTCTCTCTCTTTTTTTGGAGAGGTTTTTGCTATAGGGCGCGTGCACTCACCAGAAAGACAGAGAGAGACAGAGAGACAGAAAGCGAGAAATCACCCCCGGGGGGATGGCCACGCTGCAATCCCTTCTCCTTCATTTTCCTCTCAGGATCTTGGACATGCACGTACATGCGCCCGGTGTGCGTTTAAGCCACCGGGTCCAGGACTAGAATTGCAGTCAATTACATGCGAATCCAGCGACATAGCAATTAACGCCAACAGCTGGTCCCGTCAGGTTCACATCTAACGTCATCTGGAGACGTCCCTGAGTACCCTGGAGTGACTCCTGGCATCAAGACCTTGCCGGAGGTACTGTCTCTGTGTGTCTCCATCTTGTCTGCACTCTCTGTCTCTCTAACTGATAAAACTCAACTTTAAAAGAAAGAATTTTAG